GCATTTCTATAACCCCCCGTTATGTGCCTCCTCTATTCTTGCTGCTGCTCCTGTCCAAATAGTTTCTCCCATTGATGCCATGTCTGTTGCTGGGGCGTCTTTGGGGTGGAAAAAATTCTTGGAAACTCTCCTTGTTCTCAAGGCCTGGGTTTGCTGACCAGCCTTGGGTATTTCCAAACAAACAAGATCTCTCTCTAAAAAAAAACCCCAATCCACAACAATATTTTTGTCATCAAGAGTACAAAAGCCAGACAGCAGAGCCACCAACGCTTCCTCTGGTGTCTCATTCTTGCTCAACACACGGAAAATAGACACACACACACACTCTTGGAAGAACACGAATAAATAACAAGTGTAACTGATGAGATAGGAAAGGCCCCAAGATGACAATTAGTGCCCAGGGGGAGAGAAAAGAGGGAGAAAACCACGTTTCTTGTTCTTTTCATAGTGACTCTCTTTTTTACTCTCTTTCCTTCCTTCAGGACAGGACACAAGACAAAAATAAAGACCTTAAAAGGAGAAGAAGGAGGTTTGGCTTGGAAGGACGCAGAAGCAATTGCGCCGTAGCCAGCTCATAATAAAGAAGATAATATTGATAAAAAGGCAACATGTCTATAAAAATATGTAGAACAAACTTGTGGGGACTCCAGAAAAAGTTTCTTAAAACAATTATATCATTATAATGAGATTTTTGACTGATTGGAAGACTTTCTAAAAAGTAAACCTGCATAAATTTAACATAATCATTTTGTAGCCTTTTCAGCTGTTTTTGACATTTAAAAAACTGGAATCTTCAAAAAGAAGTTTAAATGTTAATCACAAACATTTATTCTGAATAACTGTTCAACACCAGCACTTTCTGTGGAATATGTTTTCTAAGCAATTTATAAGGCTGGATTTTCCAGAAAAGCTTACAGTTTCCAAGCATCTCCTCAGGGTTTCTCAAGCATAAAAACCATTTTGACATGAGTTTTGTTAGGTACATTTTTCCTCCCCCCCCCCTCCCCGCCACCATCTTTCCTAACTTAGGAAAGATCAACCATTCCCAGGAATTGGGAATATTAGGAAATATTCCCTAATAGTTAATATTTCCTAATATTTTCTTAGTTTTTCCTGCTTATTAGGAAAAACTAAGGAAAGAAAGTTTGTTGAGGTGGATTTTGAATAATTTTCATCCTTGATTCCACCTTATATCCCAAGAACTAGAGTCACAGTCTCATTTTCGAATGGGAAATTTGAGACTGTGTCTGTATTCATTGCAGATGCTTTGCTAAGAAATCACATGCTCATCCTCAAAAAGTTTGTTATAATGGAATTGGTGAGTTTGTTGTAACAAGATTTATATAGCATGTATACTGCTCAGGATTTCTGCCTAAACTTTGAAACAAGTTTGTTATACTGAAAATGCTGTTGCAACTGTATTTGTTGTAAGGAGGTTTTACTGTATTCTATATACACAGTGTATCCAAGTGTGCGAAGAGAGCAACGTCCTTTTGTATGTTTACTCTGCTGCTGTGGTGAAAATAAAAATAAAAACGACAAAGCACGTGAAAAGCAGCAGCAGCACGTCGGAGAAAGACCTCATTTACATAACAAATTAAACGAACGTTTCCGCGGAAGAAAAAAGAAATGAAGAAACGGTGATAGAAGAAGACGCTGTGAATGAGGATGAGGAAACGCCTGGGGGGGGGGGGGGGAGGGTCTTTCTGGGTATAAAAATAAGAAGAAGCTTGAGACCCAAAAGCAGCAGGACAATGGCCCCGTGTTGAGGGGGGAAGGAAACCCACCAAACGTCCTTATGCTCATTCTGTGTGTGTGTGTGTTTGTGTCCCATCTTTGGGTTTCTTTCTCTCCCTGTCTCTCCTTTTTACCTGCTGTCTGAATTTTGTCTCTCTTTTTTTTTTTTAAATGTTCATCTTTTGGTCGATTTTCCTTTCCTTGAGAAAATTTGGTTTTATCCGCGAGTTCAACGCATTACTGATGAATATTTCCAGCTCGATCTTTTCTCTTTTCTGCAGAAATCTTGGAAATGAGTGGAGCAAGGCTCCATCTGAGATTACTCTGTGTGACATGCTACAAGGAACACCGCATACAGCAACAAATGAAGGACTTTCTTCAAAATACGATTGAGAGACATCTAAAAAACAACCTTGCCTTTTGTTGGGAATTGAACCAGGTCTTGTTAATCAAGACAGCTGGAATGAGTTCATGGAATTGGCTTTAATAACCACCTCTTAATCCCTTCTTGGAATCTGGTCATCAAAGGTTGATTTACATTTACTCATGAAAAACCTGAGAAGGTTAATTTGGTAATAGTTATACAAGAGAAGTGCTGAGCCATTTTAGGGAAGTTGAATGAGGAATTGATTCAATTTCTCCTGCATGCATGAATATTACAAGATTATTCTAGCAAGTTAACTCTCTGAGTACATGGAGACTTTCCCTCTCTAAAGCAAAATACAAGGGACTAAGAAAATTGTTTGAAGAGAGAAGAACTTGGTGGTGAGAACACTGCTGACATGGAGAGAAAATCCTATATATGCAACACACAAAAAGTGTTATGCATAGAAATTTCTTATAGATATGACTATTGAACAGATGGTCCACATGCATGTATTGAAATGCCAATTAAAATTATCTGATTTTCAATTTCTCTTATACCCATATGTTTGTTGTGGCTTCTGCTATTTGCACCCATCATTTATCTTCCAGAGGGCTGTACCTATTATACTGGTGGACTCTGAAACAAAACCCAAGGGAACCCACAAATGTTCGCTACCCATTGAAGGCAAGATTGTTGGAGAGGGAGTCCATCTGTAACTACATTTACCAAGTACTAGATGTAGCTGTTCATGACAATTTTTCAACAATCATAGGGCTTATACAAGTTTGTAAACAATTTTGAAAATCAAGGGGGTGTTGTGCCTGAATCAAAACTACAGAGCCAGTGCCATACACATGCACTGTATGACAATGTAGAGCAATTACAATAGATCAAGATGCTATGGGAAGCTCAAATAAAAGCTGGATCTTCATTCTAATGGATTAAAAAATTATACTTCAGAAAAAAAGTTTCATAAAGTTACTGTTGAAAAATAAATTAACATTTAAATCTTCTGAGGTACAGTATATGTTTGAAATGCAGTAAAACCTTGTTACAAAGATCCAGTTAAAACAGGAAAATAGATTTCTTGTAGACATTTTTTATTAAGTAGTATTCAACATTTTAGCTATTGGAGAATGACAAAAAATGACTTTGTTGCAACCATATATTCTTTATAACAGGATTCCTTGTTACAGAATGAAACTGTGCAGTTGACCCCTGCACAATGGATTTTTTCACAACAGACTGCCTCTAGAGTCAGTTTTCCCTCCCTTGCAATGGATTAAATCCACAAAGCAGACTTCTCTTGGTTTAAAATAAATGGGAATACGTGAAAACGTTAATTTTTCATCAATTGAATCCACCTACCAGACTTTTCAAACATGAGACTAGTCTGTTGTACAAATTAAGTCCATTGTGAGGGGGTTGACTGTACCTTAAATGCTCCAATAGGAACCCCCAGCAATTTTTTTTTTCGAAGTTAGATTTCCCCTGTGTCAGTTTTTGAAGGCTGGCTTCTATTGGGAACCAGTCAAAGTTTGAGACAGATTCAGTTACTTTTTAAAAATAAGTTAAATGTTACTCTCAAATTACTCCTAATTCAGCTGCTCTTCTTTATTCATTTTTGTATTTGGTTTGAGGATTGGTTTGCTAGACCACCCTTTGCAACAACAATTTTCTGGACTCAGCTATTTTTTGTGGAAAATCCAATTATTAGATACTGCCAGCATTAAGAAATTCACTGAAGTTCAGTGAATCATCAAAATGCATACCATTTGAAGTATTTGGAGAAATGTTTTGACAATCCCTGACAAGTCAACGTCGAACTGACAAAAACCCTCTTGAACTTTTACAAAATTGAAATAGTAAAACTCATTAGAAATTAGGCACTCCTTGCCACAGCGGCGTGTTTCAATTCAATAAAGCGTTCAAACTTTTCTGAATTAGATTCCGTAGATGTTTCAACACCGTTGCACGGAATTTTCTTCACCTCTATACAGTATATGTAGAATGCATCAAGAAAGTGAACTTTGATGACGAAAAGACCATGTTTTCCAGATCCGTCCTGTAAATAAATGATAAAAAAAACAGTAAAGTTCCTCTTTGGAGAGAAGGAACTTTCATTAAAATGAATGAACAAGACACTCATTCGGACGATTTTGGCTACAAACATCCTTTATAAAAAATACTTACAATAACCTGAGCAACAGTGAAGATCATGAGCAAAAAATAAAAGGAATAAAAGCGCGCAAAAATCGACATGCCAAAAATAAAACCAGATAACCGGACTCAAAAAAAAAAAAAAGAACAGAAAAACCTAACGAATACGATCCGGGTAACTGGCACGAAAGTCTTCCTTCTTTTTTTTCTTTCCCCCCCTCTCAAGACATAAAAGGCCACAACATACCACCATCAAGCAAAAAAAGACAGAACCCGGAACATCACTCCCAAAAAAAAAAAAAAACGAAAAACATTACAAGATTTCGTGGGGGAATTTCGTGTCATAAATCAAATCAGAGGGCGTATCACAGCATGATCAATTACCCGATCAGCTACCTGAAAATTGCACTCATCACAAGTTCCATAGCACGTGTACCTCATATATCTGGGAATTTCGGGGGGAACAATAAAAGAGAATCAAAACGAAACAAACAAACAAACAAAAAAAAGGTGCTGGTGGGGAATTTTCGTCTCTTTTGCTCTCCTGCAAAAATACACGTCGACAACGCACGCCATATTCTCGCCAAAAAATATTAAAAAGACCCACGAAAAAAAATCCACGGAACCACCACTTTAATGCTGCTCGCGATGATGGGCTCTTTTCAGAAAAAAATAATAATAAAAGAAAAACACAGCTCCAACAATGGCACTTTTTTTGCAGTGCATGCCTCTCAACTCACACGGACGCCACTTCCCTCCGCCGCCGTCTTGCTCTCACCTGCAATTCAAAAAGAAAAACAAATTGAAAATTTAGTTAAATTGACACACAGGAAAAAAGGATAAATTTGCACCAGAATCCCACGCCAGTTGATAGACATGCAAAAAAATTAGGACTCCTGCTCAAAAGCTTTTTAGAGAAATCTTCAATAATCTAGTGCAGTAAAACCCTGTTCTACAACAAAGTGATTCTGACCATATAAATAGCTTCATTATCAGGGCCGGCCCAAGCCTTCGTGGCGCCCGTGTGCAAACCCTCACTTGGTGCCCCTATACATGAAAAACTTCGATCAAACAATATACAGTCAAACACCAGTTTATGGACATTGAGTTACAAATTCTCAGTTTAAGGACTGGCTCTGTTTTGGGGAAGTTGCACCTGCTTATGGACTGTAAACTGGCTTATGGACTGTGGTNCCCACGAAAAAAAATCCACGGAACCACCACTTTAATGCTGCTCGCGATGATGGGCTCTTTTCAGAAAAAAATAATAATAAAAGAAAAACACAGCTCCAACAATGGCACCTTTTTTTGCAGTGCATGCCTCTCAACTCACACGGACGCCACTTCCCTCCGCCGCCGTCTTGCTCTCACCTGCAATTCAAAAAGAAAAACAAATTGAAAATTTAGTTAAATTGACACACAGGAAAAAAGGATAAATTTGCACCAGAATCCCACGCCAGTTGATAGACATTCAAACAAATTAGGACTCCTGCTCAAAAGCTTTTTAAAGAAATCTTCAATAATCTAGTGCAGTAAAACCCTGTTATACAACAAAGTGATTCTGACCATATAAATAGCTTCATTATACAGTGCCAAACATTTTTTCATAAAAGCGCATATACCGTATTTACTTGAGTACCACGCGCCCTCAAGTAAGGCACGCACAGGGGTTTTTAAGTGGAAAATTTTGCAAAAATCTTATCCCCAAGTAAGACGTGCACCCCAATTTTTAGTGAATCTAAAGCCATAAAATTTCAACAACAAAAAACAAAAAATTTGACTCAAAGCATGAATTGAACAAAGATCTGATGAATTTTCAATTTTTTTCAATACAAAAATGTTTTCTTGTTATATTTGTTCAAAATTTCTCTATTAAAATTAAGTGCAAACATAACTTCCTAAAACTTCTTGAAAATGTTGTACCTGCTTATGGCGCGCACCCCTTTTTTTTCTTCTGAAATTTGGGAAAAAAGGTGCACGTGGTACTTGAGTAAATACGGTACTATTTTGAATATTGGGCAGGGCTATAATAAATTAAATTTGCTCCGATGGTATCTTAATACATTTCCAACAGTATGCCAGGCTTGAATTGTTGTAGAGGTGGTGCCTTGCAATTTGACCCTAATCTGTGGCTGGACTAGCCTGGGTCAAATTGTGAAGCAGTTTAATTGCAAGACAACATCAAATGCAATGTTTTCTACATCATATTTGACATTTGTATCTCTATGTAAGTCAAATTGCTGGACAGAGGTCAAATTGCAAGTCCACATTCCAGCAAACTTTACTGTCAAATTGTGGGACAGACAAACTGCAAGTGCTCAAATTGCAAAGTACCTGTTCTATAAGGTTTGCTTCACATTTTTGATCCTGAAGCCCCTCCAGTTTTGCACATTCATGCTTTTTCTCATATAAATTTCAAACTTGTTTGGATACTGTAGTTCGAAACATTACAAGGAAAGATTCCATTTGTGCATGTTACTCAGATATTGTTCTTGATTTGTTGATTGTGAGCTTGTTGATACACAGAGTACTTTTAAAAAGTGTTGGCAAAAAATAAATTTACTCAGGTGTACAAAATTCTTGAAAATCAATGAGAAAACTCAGAGCAAGGATCTTTTATCACTTGCAAAACCTTTTATGAATTTCTTGCTCATCAATTGCTTTTTAGGAAAGATTGTACAATCAGTATTATTACTACAGTACTGAAGTTGAAAAAATAATTGCGAAGATAATCACACTTCTTCAATTCATAAATTGAGCATTGTTTTAGATCCAGAACATGTCAGGAAACATTTTCTTTTTATTGTAGAAAATGTCTTCAGGCCGGTTTTCATTACCTTTGAGGCTTTGACACAAGGATGAAATATGCAAAACATTGTGATTCCAATGCTCCATCTTATTCTTTCCACTTTTACTTAATGAGGGACAAAAATAACTGACATTTCTTTAAATGTTTAGTAGCAACAATAAAATGAAATGCGATACTATGAAAAATTGCGGGACACTTATTTTTGCGCGCGCACCAGCCACAGGAAATAAGGCTCAAGTGATTCCACATTCTCCCAGAAGATGTCGCCTACTCGTATTTGTAAAAAGAGAAACGACCAGAAAAGCAGCTCCCATATTCAGCAATCGTATCATACAGTGCATAAATTGATGTTCCATTGTATCAAATCTCGTTACAAGGAATTATTGCGCAGACGTTTTTTTTTCTTGGTCCAGGCAGTTTCCCCATGATTTTCTAAAAAGAAATTCCACTATATTGCTGTTTTCCTTTGAATCATACTTTTTGAAGAAAAATCAATAAACTTTTTAAATGCCTGCCATAAAGTCTTCCAAGTTTGAAGCAAAACATTCAAATTATTTTTTAAAAATTTATGAAACTTTGCTGGTCCACAGAGAATTTTTTGGAAGTTTACCAGTCTGCAAAAAAATTGCCAGTCTATGGGCACAAAAAGGTTGGGGAACACTGCATCTATTATACCCATCTATAAACAATTTCAGTCCTAGAGAACCATGAATCTCATGAACCCTTCTGTAGCAAAAGTCAGACTTCTTTTGCACATTTTGGTTACAATCAAGAATGTCATTTAAAAACCCCATGACAGTGTGTGCAGGTAAACATTTGCCCTTCCCCACCTGGCAGGGGTAGCATATAACCTTGTGCAGAAATGTTATGCAGGCCCAAGAGGAAAAAGTCCAACTCTGCCCATACCTGGGATGGAAGGGAGGCTGCCACCATCCAAGGGTTAAAACTGGTGTTTAACAGGTTCCTGTTAACCCTCAGACCGTAGAAGGTACTTTCTCAGTGTGCAGCAGAGTCAGTATTTTTTTGGGGGTGTGGCGCATTTCAATTTGACCCAAGGTTACTGAAATCCCCCCAAAGTTGAGGAGGCCCAAGTTGGGAAAAATCTGGGACGCAAATTTTATTTTGTTTCTAAGATTTTACCATGCAAATTCTATGCCAGGAATGCAGGAAAAATGCCACCCAGCCAGGGATTTTTTTAAAAATCTTCATCGAAAATTTTTCGGCAGGATTAGAAGAAAATCTTGGACTTTTTCCCAACTTAGCCCTTGGTAGAAAAAAAAAAAGGTTTTTCTTATTCCCAGTGCCCAGTACAGCACAAAATTTGGCAAAAATATCCCGAACTTTGCTGCACAAGGGTTAATTTGTTGTAACAATATAGATTTTCACTGCAGCATCGGTTTACAAGTGAATAAGTACTATGTACATTGCAAACCCTTTTGGTACAGTCCTGTGAAGGCCAAAACAAACCCACCTTGTAGGTGGACGGGGCGATGGTGGCGGCGACGTGGGCGTCCAGGTTGGGCAAGTCGTCGCCGTCGGGCAGGAGCGTGTACGCGTGCAGCAGCGACGTGAAGAACAAGAAGATCTCCATCTTGGCCAGCACGTCGCCCAAACACATCCGCCTGCCGATGCCGAAGGGCATGAAGTACTCGGGCTTGTGCACCTTGCCCTGGTCGTTGAGGAACCGGGCGGGCCGGAAGGACTCCGGGTCGGGCCACAACTCCGGGTCCATGTGCACGGCCCAGAGCAGCGGCAACACCTGCGTGTCCTTGGGGATCAGGTGGTTGTCGATGCGGACGTCGCACGTCGTCGCGTGCGTCGTGCCCAGGCCCGCCACATTCGACCGCCGCAGCACTTCGCAAATGGTCGCCTCGGTGTAGGGCAAGAAGGCGGCGTCGGCCAGCGTCGCGTGACTCCGACTGCCCAGCACGGCGTCCAGCTCTTCCTGCACCCGCTCCTGCACTTCCGGGTTGTGCAGCATGAACAGCACGGCCCACTGCAGCGTCGTCTTGACTGTTTCCTGCCCGGCCGAGAAGAGGTCGCTCATGATCTGGCACAGCTGCCGGTCCGGGTCCTTGCCGCAGAACAAGTCCCTCCTACTGCTGCTGCTGCTGCTGCCGCTGTCACTCTCCGAGGAGGAGGAGGAGGAGCCGGAGGAGGAGGACGATGCTGATTGGTCGTCGTCGCCCAGCATCATCTCGTGCAAGTAGGCGTCGACGAGGTCTCTGGGCGGGCCTTCGGGCTGCAGCGTGGCTCTGTGCTCGGCGATGATGCCGCGGAAGTAGCCGTGCATCTCGTCGCGATTGGCGCGGAGTTGGCGGTAGGCGGCGGACATGCGAGGCAGGAACCGGAGCACGGGAAACACGTTCACCTTGGCGGCGACGGTGAAGAGCCGGAAGCCCTCGTCCATGAGGTGCATGAAGCGCTGAAAGTCCACGTCGCCGGGCTTGTAGCGCACGGACATGAGCACAGAGCTGATGACGTTCGTCACAGAGGCTGCGAGCATGGCGCTCAGGTCCACTAGCACGGCTTCATCTTCTTCTTCTGTTCCTGCTGCTTGATGCGTGGTCAGGACGGGTCGCTTTTTATCGTCAGCGTTCTTGATGTTGTTGTTGTTGTTATTGAGGTTATTATTATTATTATTGTTGTTGTTGTTCAGGGCGGCGTTGTAGTCGGTGGCCAGGGTGTCGAGAAGGTCCTGCACTTCGGTGAGTATGCGGTGCTCCATGGACTCGCGACCGGCGCCCAAACTGCGCATGCCGAAGCGGCGGAGGTGCGAGTGCAGGAACTTGCGCTGGTTCTTCCACAGGGCGCCGTCTGAATTGATGATGCCTGTATGATGTATTTTTTGTTGAAAAGCAAGCAGGAGGAGAAAGAGAGAAACAGATGCACAAATTAGTATATGCAGTATTGCAATGCGAATACAATATTGCCAAATTTAAAAAATGAAATTAAAATACTCCTGGACACTTTCTCTCTCTCTCTGTCTCTAGTTAGAAAGAAATTCAGAGGAACAGACAAAATTTGTTGAAGAAAACGCCATTTAACCAGGGGAGAGAACCATATGCAGGTACTGTAGTACCGTGTAATTCAACAGTCAAATTTGCAGAGAGCTTGACTTGCAATTCAACCCTTGCCCTGCAATTTGGCCACTTTTATTGCACTTTTAAAAATTAATACAGTAGAATCTTGTTACAACAAATCTCAGTATAACAAATGTTTGCCTACAACAAATTCATTTGTTCTAATCCTGGCAGTTACCCTCACAGAGTGTTGCTGAAATTAATCTTGTTTTACCAAATTAATTTTTACATGCTCATCTCCAATTGCAACAAAATTGTGTCCCAAGTTTTCACAAAGTTCCCCCAATTTTTTTCTATTTGCTTGCTCTGATTTTTGAATTTTTCTTTCCCTGATGTTTATACAATGCCCTGTTTCTTGGTGCTCAACAGTACATGGTGGAAAGGAAATGTGTCTGCCTCAGAGTTATAAACAAAAACATGAGGCCAAAAATTGGTTACATTCTCTGACAGCAGGAAGCCCATGAAATAAATGTACCCTGATCAATTTATCCATTGTCAAAGAAATTTCAAAGGATAGTGGGAACTTGGAGCTGATGAGAACTTCACAAGCTACCAAAATCTGTGATTTTTTTCTAATGCTTCTGTGTTAAGTTTTTTTTCACATTTTTAAATCCAATAAAAGTCATCTATTTCCTTAGGCAAATGCTGATCATCTTTTCAAGTTGCTTAAGTGAGTAGAGGATGTGTTGGTGAAGTGTGTGGCAAAGAAAATTGTGCACCATAAAATAACTGAATATTTTCAAACAGTAAAATGCTTGTTCAGAGGTTAAAATGTTGTTTCTATAAATAAATTCCATCAATCTCAATATAAAAATTTTTCCTGGTCCCTGGGAGTTTGTTGTAACAAGATTCAACTGTATTTTTAAATTTGACGCTGTGTCTTGCAATTTGACCAATTTGCACTTTGACCATAGACTCTGGCAACAGATCAAATTGTAAGGTACAGCCTGTATATGGGATCACCAAAAAAATTGCTGTAGAGATTGTCCATCTGTTTCCAGTAGGGAGAAAAAGATTGCCAAGGAGAACTAAATTGTTTTTCCTTGGAAAAAAGTAATGACTCCTTCACACAACCAACCAAACTACGTAGTGTTGACCATAACTGAGTAGAGTGTATAAATAGATTAACCCTTTGATTTCCCAGAAGGTGCCTTGTATTTTTTTTTTCAAGCCCACGAGCGGTTTTATCTTTATTTTGTGTGCATGTGTGCGTCACTTTCACTTCCAAGGAAAATTGCTCCGCATTCCTAGTTCCCACTAAAGTAAGATTTCTTGGAAGAAGTTCCTTGTTCTGTGATATAATTTATTGAATGTATGCCACAATTGTGCAGTTGCGTGAAAATGTTGGTAACCTTGTGAATGCTGATGACAAGTGGCACATAAAGCTTGCATGTCAAGAAATCTAGCTTCCAAATCCATATGCAAAAGCAATTTGATTTATTTTGTTTTGCTGGTTTTGAAATATTTCCTATGATTGAAAGCTTTTTCTGGGATGCATGCACACATTTTCCTGTTGTGTATGCTGTATGGGACAATCAGGAATTGTTTTCTGCACTATTAGATGTCACTGCAAGTCATGATTTTGACAGTTGAATCTCTGTAAGTCAACTTTCTAGAGACCAAGAACAAATTTGACTGAGGGAGGTTTTGGTCTTTGGAGGTTTCCAGTGGAGGAAACAAATGTTTTTGTTGTTAGAAGTGAAACAAATGTGGGAAATCATTAATGAGGATACAGTATTCTGGGCCAAAACTTGTTCCTTGATGAGTTTACACCTTGCTGAACTTGGAGGCAAGGGTTCATTTGCTATATTTGTCTTTCACTTCCTTTCAAGATGCATCAAATTATTTGTTCTAATCATTTTCTCTTCCTTATTTCAAGGAAATTATAACCAGAGGGCATAAGGAAATTCAATGAACAGAGGTTTCAGAGAAAAAGACTTCAAGGTAGGGAGGTTTCCAATGTATTGATTCTAAGTGAATTCAGACAGGGACTTGAAAAAAATTCAACTTAGGAAGGAATTTGACTTGAGGAGGTTTGACTTATTGAGGTTCACCTGCAATAATAACTTTTTGATTTTCACAGGGGTCTGTTGCCTGAGTCTGGTTCTTGACTTTGATCCCCTTGCAGCTAGAGAAGTGACGCCGCTTTCAGTAAATTACCCTCGACAATCATTTATTCTTTGATTTTTTTAAACTGAGTATAACTACAGTACTGTACCAAGTAATGTAATTACCGCAATCACAATTCTTCATATGAAAAAGTTTTCATTCCAATAGTGTACTTGGAAAGAGGGAGAGAGAGTGTATCAGTTTATTGTACTGTAGTTGATTTTGGAGCGGAGTTCTTTTCCCGCTCCCTGCTATCTGACATGAAATTTCTTTTAGCGTTCGTAGATGTCGCTGCAAGTCATAATTGAGAATAATACACTGAACCCGTAATAAATCTCAGATTTTCTCAAGAATCCGTTATTTGCGTCTGGTTGTTGGTTTTGATACGATTCCAGGGGCTTAAGTCATGCTTTTTAAAATAAATATTCTCGATGATCTTACACTATTTGCTGTCATCCTTAAAAACCAATAAATTGAGCAATATATACAAGTGGAGACTGTCTACGATTATTTCGCATAAAACGATTCCCTCTGTAGAGGAATTTTGTTGTTTTGCTGCTTCCATAGGGTTCTCTATACTCATGTTTTTGGAGTTCTCTCTGGCAAAATGCTGTTTATATAAAGATGCTTTTATTGTCCCTTGATTTTTGGAGCTGGTTATGGAGACGAGAGTCCTTCAGCAAATATATCTCTTATATATATAAATATTCGATTCCATGCGGGAATAAACAGCCCAGAGAAAAGGTAGTTCCATAAATAAGTTTCTAGTAGTTTACGATGGTGGTGGTGGTGGTGGAGACGAGGTTAAGCGGGGAGGTGAACAACCCAGATTGCCGGGCCAAGCTGGGCTCAAGGCTGCAGCCAGCAGCTGGGAGTGTTTTCTCAGTGTGTGTGTGTGTGTGTGTGTGTGGGGTCATCGTGTGGTCTTCTCTCTTTTTTTTTTCTTTGCTTTCCTTTTTTTCATTTCAGTCCCTTTTATTCCTTTCTATTCTCCTCCTCTAGCTCCCCTTCTTGGAATATGTTTCGTCTCGTGGTTCACACTACCACGCTATATCCCCCCACACACACAGGGGGCGATCACACCAGGCAAGGGGTGAAGGTCCTAATGTCCACTGCGTGTCTCTCATTATATACTCTCTCGTGTCCATGTATACTGTAGTAGCAAGGCAGCAGGGCGCGCACACGTCAAGGTTTTCCGTCGTCTCCAACAATAAATGAAGGAGGGAATAGAAAGAAGAAGAAAAAAACAAGACGCCAGCATCTCTCTCTCTCTTTGTGGGTTCCTGTCTCGGAATGCGAGGCTGACTCTAAAATAAGATATCCAAATGCGGGGGGGGGGGGGGGGGGAGAAGGGGAACAAGGAACTTGCTGCACCCGGGANTCCAAATGCGGGGGGGGGGGGGGTGAAGAAGGAGAACAGTATCCTTCAAAAGAGGAAGGAATCACTGGGGGTCATGTGCATTTTCACCCACAGCCTAAACAACAGGATGAGAGTAAACATTACAGCTAGGTGAACTCCCCTCTATAAACAGCGAAAATCAAGGGACCAGGAAATATATTTTGTAGAGAGAATCTTGTTGTAGAGAACACTTATAAAATGGAAAGAAGGTTATAGGAGAACATTAAAAAATTTTATACAGAAACAATTGATGTATACACAGAGTTCACTTGTATTATTTTAGGGCCATGTGCATTCACCCACCACCCAAACAACAGGATGAGAGTAAACATTACAAGTGAACTCCCTCTATAAACAGCAAAAATCAAGGGACAAGAAAATACATTTTGTAGAGAGAATTTTGTTGTAGAGAACACTTTTAAAACGGGAATAAGGTTCTATATAGGAGACCATAAAAATTACTATATACAAAGACAATTGATACATAGAGAGTGCACTTGAATTATTTTAGGGTCATGTGCATTCACCCACCACCCAAGCAACAGAGGGCAAACATTACAGATAAACACCCTTTATAAACAACAAAATTCAAGGGGCAAGGAAAGGATTTTTGCAGAGAGAATTTTGTTCTAGAGAACACTTTTAAAACATGGATAAAGCTCTGTAGGAACATAAAAAAAATGTATGCACAGAAAATTGTTGTAGAAAGGGTTCATTTGTATCATTTTAGTGGGCAGCAGAATTGAGGTCATCTGCATTCACCCAGTAGCACCCACCCAAACAACAGGAGAGTAAACATCACAGATGGACTTGCTCTCGCTCTCTCTCTGCAATAAAATTCAAGGGACTCAGAAAAATTTGCATGGAGAGAATTTTGTTGTAGAGAACCCTTATACAATGGGGAGAGAATCCCGT